CAAGAGGTCGGCCAAGGAATTACCTGAGAAACAAAATAATCCAAAGCAATGCTTTGGCCAAGCACACTTCCAATAATACGAATGCTATCTGTATCCAATGTCTTAAGAATGAGATAGTCTGGGCCTCCTCGCATGTCCTCATCTAATAGCGGCTTCTCTTTTATGGCATAATCTAATACAGAGGGTCAAGGACCAAAGAGAAAATTAGCTTCAGATTCACCAAGAAAATATTTTTTAAGAGGTAAGCAAATATGTGACATGAAATAAGGAACATCATTGTCGATGGACACCACAAATTACATGAGTGCAATGATCTTAAAACTATTGGATATATTATCCATGGATAAAGAAATATCAAATAAGAATAAGAGTTAAAAAGATATACACCTTCTGTATAAATATAGCATTCAATAAAAAGTAACCTTCATAAGAAAACTAACCATCTCTCCTCATCTCAGGCAGCAACCCAGAAGCATGTCTACGGATTATATGCAGGTAATTTTCAACTTCATGATCCTCGATATTAAACAGAACAGCAGATCCATATTGGAACACAACCATGTAACGGCAGTGGCTCACATTCTCTTTGCCTCTGAGTGCCTAAATCAGAAATTACATGTTATCCAGAAAACGAGACCACATTAAGAATCTAGGAAGATTTTCCAACTAAAACCATCATACAAAGACTTGTACAAATCCAAAAACATTGCATAATTCAACTTGGTGCCCTTGTAAGGGAAAACATTTTAAACTGCTGGCTCTGAACATAGATATGCTGCATAGGTTGCCATTGGTGGCGGATATTTAAAAGGTGATTCCAGCATTCCATCTAGGTATAAGAGCCTCAATAACCAAACAAGAAGACCAAACACATAAAAGCTTCTACTGCCCTATGGCTATTCAAAATCATGAAAAAGAGATCACTGACAATTGACAACATAAACTATACAGCACCAAATGAGCTGAAGAATCTTTGGTAGATACTTTATATATATAATAAAGGCGGAACAATTGATGGAACAAAATAATTAAACAGTGCCAACAAGTTGAGAATTTTGACCAATTTGAAGGAAAAATGATTTCTTAATTGTCTTACAGAAATTTCTGAAGGAAAATCGCAATATCTGAGGGCAATATAATTTGATGAACGAGATGAAGGGGGAATAACATCACTCAAATTCTCGGCTTGCATGCTCTTCAAATTGATACTGCCAAAACCATGAATCTGAGAAGCCAAATCATCATAAAAACAGAACAATAGAGAAAGGTGAGGCAGTCCCTAAATTGAAAGGACAGAGAGGAGCATATATATCTTGTAAAAATACCTGAGATAAAACCTTAAAATCAAAGAATTCAATCCAAACAAGACAAAAGTATAAAAGGAATAGCATTGTCACCTTCCAAGGAAAAAATCCGCAATTGAAATACAGTGTCAAATCCAAGATATCATTCATGACGGTGTCAAGTTGAGTAAAGCACTAAAATCAATTATGCATACAAGGGAAGAGAGACAATAGCCTAATAAGAACTTCAGCTAGACATCAACTCTATTTATCTCATTTGTCATATCACTGTTACATCAAATTCAGAACCAATTGTGAAACTTGCTGCAGTTTACAAAAATTTAAGGTGTACTTAGGTCTCCACGGGAAAATTATTGGCTAAAGAGTGAAAGCCAAATAGAATTAGCGGGTCTTAAATTACTACTCCTACTCCAGTATCAACTCAAGAGAAAGTAAAATGCAAACCAACCCATTCCCAGGAAATACTAACATGCTTATATATGAATGCAAACCAACCCATTCCATAGAATACAAACATGCTTATATATTGGCCTATTAGATTAAAGAGAGAAATAAATGACAAAAAAAACCATTAATTTGTCCCGACAATTTACAGACAGAGGGCTAACCTAGTAGAAAGAAAGTAAGCTTTGACGGGTATTTTGGCCGTCTCTTCATCTTCGTTAGCTTCCAGTTCATAGTCAAGGTCAAAATCATGTGACCCAGAATCTAATTCGGCAGAATAAACAGATACACGAGATGGGATTGCAGTAAAGCGTCTTAGAGTAAAGAAACTAGGGCCAAAGGTTTGAGGGGGTGGAGGAGGAGGAAGAAGAAGAAGTTTAGGATGAAGAGAAGGGCGAGATTTAAAAATTGAGGCTGTACGGTTGAGGAGAAAAGAAGCAGATCGCCATCTACCCATTCACTACAAATGGATTCAATCAACTTCAATGAATCAGTTTCGGTTGTACATGGAAAGGCCGTTATATTACTTCTCTGTTCATGGACTTGGATTGGTTTGGTTTTGGTTAATGTCCACTTCTTCTTGGACCGTGAGATGCGTTTCCCATATACTCTTCTTCCTATTTCGAGTAATTTGTTCTAATTATTACGTCGATTGAGCTAATTACATCTATTTATTTACGAACAATACTACTTACAAAAGACTAGGGTTTTTCCAATGATATGTCAATACAAATGCAAGAATAATGCCTCTTTCTAAGGACAGTACTACTGAACCTGTTCTATAAATTTACCTAAATGACCTTTTTAACCTGTTCTAGTCTTCTAGAAATTTAATCAAATTAAAATTTTATTAGTAGATATCCGATTAATCCCTGCAGGTTTTCAAACGAAATTTTATTTACGGCATGGTGGTATTTGATAGTTTTCAATAGAGTAAACCACTTTTTCACACCTCAAAAATGGCGTAATAACACTTTCTCATCTCTAAATTTTTGAAATACTATTTTAATATCCAAAGCACAATTCTGTTAGTAAATTTTTTTGTGATAAAAGATAAAATAATCAAAAGTCCATTATAAATAAGGGCAAGATGGTCATAGGAGTGATTTTGGCCATCAAAATCGGCCGAAATCTGGCTTGAACAGGAAGATGCGCATGTTAACAAGGGGTAGCACACGTTAGCAACATCGTAGCCGGTGGTTTTTGCCTTTTCTTTTTTTGTTGATTCTAGCGTCCAAAATCACTTCTGAGACCACTTACAGACACCTCACAACCTCCTTTACAAAACTCATACATCATTTTCCCTTCATATCTCCCTTTTTCACTGGTTTTTGCACTTTTTTTCTTCCCTTAATCGCCACTTCCAAACCCAATTCCGACCACCAAAACTTAATCTATCACCGCTAAAAGATTCATTAGTCTCTGTACTACAAAAGTTGACCATGCTCACTCATTGTTTGTCATCTAACCCTAGGGTTTTTGTGGTTCCTTTTATGTTTGGGTTGCAATTGGAGTTTTTTTGGAGTGGTTTTGGTGAAATTGGAGATCTTTTTGGAGTGTTTGAGGTGTTTTGTGTTTTGTTAAGAGTTTTCCCAACTGTTTCGCCTTCTCCTGGGGGTTATTCCAACTTTTTCAGCATGGTGCACACCAAGTGTTAGTGAAATTGCCCCAACCATCCCAATACACGCCCAACACAGGCCACCGAAAAGAGAAAATAAGGAAGAGTAAAGGGTTTTTTGTCTTCATAGTGAATATCATTGTTTTTAACAAAAACTGTTAACAGAATGTGACGTTTGAGTATTAAAGTGGTATTTTAAAAGTTTAAAGGTGGAAAAGTGACATTTTCTCTTTTCAATAATAGATGTGTCGCTTAATACTTTCCAATCTCTCAAGGGGTTGAATAAGATTAATTCGATAATTTAAAGTTAACGACTTTTTTCCACCCAAATAATGGTTTAATGACACTTTCCCACACACAAACTTTTAAAATATCACTTTATTACCCAGATTTATATTCCGACGGCAAACAGAGAACAAACTTAGTCTAAACTATTAGGGCTTTTGAAGAGAAAAGGCCAATGAGTCTTTTGGTGATGAAAGGTTAAATTTTAGTGGTTAAGACTGATCAGAATTTGATTTGGAAGGGGTGGCCGCCCAATCCCTAATTGCTCAATTGCTAACTATTTGTGGAGTCGATGGGAGTAGGGTTTGAGGGGTAGTGATGATCGAGGAAGAGAATGATAGTGGTTTGGGGTCGTAACAATGCCGGAATCGAAAACGAAATATAAATTTGGATAGTGAAGTGGTACTTTAAAAGTCCGTCGGTAAGAAAATGTCGTTAAACCATTATTTGGGTGAGAAAAAATCATTACCTCGATAATTTATCATAAATTTGTCACTTTTATTAAAAACATGACTGCATGAGTAATGCTTATTGATATATCTTTGTAGGGGGAATGACTTACACATACCCAAAGTTTGCTGTAAAGACAAAGTGGTACCCAAAAAGTTTGGAAATGACAAACACCCACTTTCCATCATGTTCTGTTAGGAATTTTCATCCGTTAAAAGACAAAAATGGTGAAAAGACTGGAATACCCACCAATCTTCATTCCCAATGAGCGCCAGCAAGGGCTAGTGCCATTGTTTATCACCGAACTTCGCAGAAACATGCTAAATCCGGTAAAAAAATCGATCGATGATGTAAGAGGGTTGTGCAAACAGGCTTGGGGTGAGAATGAAATTACTATACTGTCTTTTAGTAGACAAAAATCCCTAACAGAATATGACAGAAAATATTTGTTTGTCATTTCCATACCTTTTAGATAACAATCTGTCTTTATACCAAACGTTGAATAGGTGGAAGTCATTCAGCCTATCTTTGTATTTAAAAAATACACATAAATCATAATTTTATAATTCACGTAAAATATTAAATTCACAATATCTATTATACAAAATTTGCCATGCATTGCATTATATTTATATTGAAACCATAACATATATATTTTTTTTTAAAGGTTAGGAGACGTAAAACTCAAACTTTTAACTTCAACTTATGACAATAACTCATAATCATATATGCAATGATAATATAACATAAATAATTATTATCTATTATACATTACATATATATATATATATAAAGAAAAGTTGTTAAAAGTCAAGACCTGAACGCTGTCGTTTCAGTTCAAGGCTGTTTTTCATATTACTAGTGTGGTGAAAACTGAAACCCGAAGAAGCCCAAGTGCAGAAAAGAGTGACAGTTGAAGCAATCGACAAAATCGAGAATGGCAATATCAGGGGATTTGAGGGTCGCTGCCACTCTGGCCTCTTATCATCAACATCCTCTTCGAAGCTCATTACCTTCTTCAAAGGTCCTTAATTTCTTATTCTTCCTTCTTTCTTTTTATTATCAATGTTATAGGCTTTCTCAAATTTGTCCATTATAAGCTTATTTCTTGGCTTCTTTGCCGAATAAATGAAATGGGTAATTGGTTTTTGATGAAAGGTTTGGGGCTACAGTGGAAATTGTTTGTTCTAGACTTCTAGTTCATGTTTTCTGAGTTTTGTCATTTTGTGTAAAATAGTTACAATTGTTCGTCCAATGAACTAAATTTATGAAAGTGACCAAGATCTAACGCTTGAATAGCTTGGTTACAGTTTTCATTTTCTTAGTAAACCTCCACAATTTTTGTGATGGAGATAACATCAGTCTTGGCCACTTATCAACCTGCTTGGTAATTGTGATTTGGTCATCTGGCTTATGTATTTTCCGGTATGTAGAGATTAGGGTAACAGTTTTAAATTTCCATTTTTTCATTTTGTTTTTAATATAGTGCAATCAAAGCTTATAAGAGGTGTGGATTCAAAAGAGTAATCATTTAAACCAAAAAAAAAAAAAAAAATGTGCTTTTTCAAGTTCTAAATTATTCAGAAATGAATGAAATAGTTACTGTTCTTTTGGTGTTGTGGTTGTTGTTTTGGTTCTCCTCTTTCTTGCGTATGTAAATAGTTTACATAGAATGCTGATTTTAGGTGGATCATCTGATCCTTAGGACTTTTGGTGCTTCGGACCAGTATGTTATGTGCAGGTAACAATTGCTACTTGCTCACTTAGCTATAGCAGCTGACTATTGCTCATGAGTCATAAAGTTGCATCAATATCAGTCAAGGTCTGATATTGCAAAGTGCATATGCTGCTTGTTGCCATATAAGAGTTTGTGGCGATGGCATTTGGCTAGAGTCCCAGCCAGGGGTTGACTGCAATGATGGAAAAAGTGAATTGGCAGTGCTATTTGAAAGCAGTTGTCAAATAGACTATAAGTTAACAAACAGTAGATAAAAAAAATTAAAATGAAATACAAGATTTTATTTAACAGCTAGGATGGTGTTAAGAATGGTGACGAGATGATAGTGGTATATTGTGATTTATTGAGAGGATTACAATAGTTACTAGTGCATACATGTCACAGCTGGAAGCATCTCTGTTAATGAATTAACTGAGCTTGAGTACTTCCTGAGTACAAATTATTACCGTTTGGTCTATTTCATTACAAATAAGATCCTGAAAAGGATTCTGCTACACTAATGGCAACGGCTATGATTGTCAAACATGGACAACCCATCTATTATGTTCTGTCGATAATCTGAAATACGCCAAAATCCCTTCATTCGTATACTTAAGTGGATTAAAAGTTTAAATTGAAGCATTAGGTTGGTGGATCTTAATTGTGCGCTATATAAATGTTTTGGTAAATAAATAAATTTCTGGCAACATTTAAATTTCTTAAACCTTTTACTGTTTTGTAGGTAGATTTTACTGGTTTCCTGAATGGAGGATCAAGTGTTTCTGAAATTTCACCCAAATGGAATGGCATAGTTCTTCGTAATCGTAGCATGTGCCAATCTAAACGATTTTCTGGTACATCGGGAGACTACAAACTGTCTTCAGGTTCCATTAACCAAGAAATTGAGAGCTTCCTCCTGGATGCCATCAATATGAGCTTCTTTGAACGTCTAAACTTGGCTTGGAAGATAGTCTTCCCATCTCCAATGACGAGAAGGAGCTCTAACGCAAGGATTGCCAAGCAGCGCTTGAAGATGATTCTCTTCTCTGACCGATGTGCAGTTAGTGATGAGGCGAAAAGGAAGATTGTGAGCAACATTGTGCATGCTCTGTCAGACTTTGTGGTGATAGAATCACAGGATAAAGTTCAGCTGAGTGTGTCTACTGATACAGATCTTGGTACCATTTACTCTGTTACTGTGCCCGTGCGGCGTGTGAAGCCAGAATATCTAGATGTTTATGATAATGGAACAATAGCAAACGTTGAGTATAAGGATACCGGAGAAATTTCTGGTTCTGTAGATGTCAAGTTTGATTTCTTCGTCCCAGATGAATGATCATTTGGTTTTTGAACTCTTAAGGACAAAAGCAATGTGTTTGCCTAGTTTTAGAAGTTTGTTTTGTTAGATGTTTGAATGTTCAGCTGGTGCAGTGACTGCACAATTCTGTATATAAATGAAATTTCATGTAAGGTAATTGGAAATTTTGCTCTGTTTTAATCTCTAATATGATTGAATGTTTTTGTTCTTTTGGCACAAAGGTGTATCTTCCCATCAATTATATTAAATGGTGTTTGTGTGTGTTTTTTTAAAGACTGGAATTTGGTGTTTGACTGGATACATTTGAGGTTGTGGGCTATGAAAGATTGAAAGATGGCTTCCTTGGCAGGTTAAGTATTCAATACATCTTGTAGGTGACAAACTGGGAAATAAATAGATCAAGTTGAAGTAGGGTTATGAGTTCCCTTGCGCTCTTTTTTACTAGTATTAACCATAAGTTTTTATAAGATTGGTAAATTTACAAAAATAAGAACAAAATTTAATGCTTAAATTATGTTCTGAAAACTTATCTAAATATTTAATCATTTATCCTTTAAGATATGGTTTTAACTTTAAGAAATCTAATTTCATATTTCTGTCTATTGAATAAAGAAATTGATGTAATCAAATATTCAGTTTATAGATAACTTTAATGAACGTAAAAACAATCTTAACATAGTTAACTTTAAGAGATAATTTATTATATATTTAGTAGTGAAATTTGACCGAATTGGACCACAGGGGTAATTCAGTAATTAGAAAGAAAGCTGATCATTAATTCATTATTAAACTCAACACGGAGCGGGAACTTTTAATTTTTCAGTTCACAAGTCCACTCCAGTCTAGAGGACAACCACATTGAAAGAGGAAAAGGAATTAGGGTTTTGTTTTTTCTTAACCAGCGAAGCATTCAGCGCCTGAAATAAATATCACAAGTCTCTGAATATTAAGTCTGAAACCTTTACAAAGGTCAGCTCGCTTCACACACTGTACGTTCAACTGATTAATCAAAGGGTGCATGAGAATTAGCACGGAGGGGAAGAATTAAACTTCGGTTTACAGTCCTTAAATTTCAGAAATGAACAGAGTTTGTTTGGATTTCGAGAACCCGATTGGTGACGCAATTTCCAGAATCCGATTTGCTCCAAATTCAAATAATCTCCTAATTTCTTCGTGGGATTCTGTGAGTTTTTTTTTCAATTATGATTTTTTTAATTAAATTTGTGATGCGTTTTGACTTTGAATTATTATAACTAGTGATTTCTGTTTATTTGTAGTGTCTTCGATTGTATGATGTGGATAGTTCTCTGGTTAGATTAGTGACTCCCACGGAAGCTGCACTTCTTGATTGTTGTTTCCAAAACGACGACGTCACGTTTAGCGTTGGCTCCGACGGTTCCATTAGAAGGTTTGTTTTTTTGCATCACTGAAACTCAAACCCATCTTAATTTTTCACTTGTCGCGTAACTTATTGTAAAAAGAATTTGAATTAGAATGTAGTTCCGTTACATGAAAACTGCAACTATAAAAATTAAAATGATGCTCAAGATTAGATATTTTAAAACTCACAAGGCTCCAATGTTTGCCACAATACGACACTTTAAATTCTTTTTATTGTAGAATAAGTATCAATTTTAGGGTTTATAATGACAATGGGTTTTGTTGGAAAGTGATAGTATCAATTCTTAAACTTCCTTATGAAAGTAAACTAAATAGAAAGAGGATTACCATGCCTTAATCACAGAAGATTTCTTTTTATTTTACTATTTCAAGAAAAATTATACAGCCTTCCTTAAATGCCTTTCAGGTTGTGCTTAATAAATTCTATCTATTTACCATATATGTTTGTAGTTAGCGTGATTCTGTCTTTTCTTTTAGTTTACTCTTTTAAGTTTATGAGGTTGCCTGAAGATCTCATTCTTTCGGCTTGTTGCTTTTGTCTATTGCATGATAAGATGCATGAAACGTTCAACCTTTAATTTTTTCTTTTACCAAATTATTAAATGTTTTTCTTTTTATGTCAGAGTGCAAGTTAAAATATCAAGATATATGTTGACTCCTTTCGAGCCTGTTTTTATAGGTATGACTTGCATTCGGGAATGCATGACACAATCGGAAATCATGATGATATTGCAACATGTCTTCAGTATTCAGATGAAACTGGTAAGTTTACTGATAATACTTCAATAATGCTTATAAAATGAGGAGCATTTATTTGGGATAGATTGGTTTATATGATTCCCTCACTTGGAATGTAAAATGTGAAGTACCCATTGACTATTTTGAAGATTATTGAAATTCTGAATTTTTACACTGGATATAGAAATTAACTAGGCATGCAATGATCTTGTATAAAAGATTCCAAGTTTTATGTAGATTGCATGTCAGTTATTCTGAGCTCTCAATAACAAGAAACGATAATCAATGGAGTCCATGTAGCAAAGTTTCTTAACTTGTAAAAAGTGTTAGCTTTTTACCCTCTCTTAAAATGCTAATATAAATTGCTGCTTAGGCCCTTTAACAGATTAACATTCTAGTGCTCATGATCGGCTCCAATCATCTGAAGATTTTTCCAAATATCTCAAACACTTAGTGCCATACTGGTCCACAAGAAGTAATTAGTGAGGGTTTGTTCATCTCCCATTAATTACAGATAATGGGGCTTTTAAATGGCATGAAAAAAGAAGTTCTGCATGAGAGGTACTGTGGTTGTTTGCACAAAAACCTGAGGACAATGTTGGGATCATTTTTAAGGTTATCATGTAACTGAACGGTGTCTGTTCTTGTTACTTCATGCTTAATGACTTGCACTTCAAGCTCCTTCATATAATTGTGGAACATATGAAAGCCCTTTCTCTGACTTCTCAGTTATCTTCTTATTAACAAGTTGTATATAACTCCTTATATTGGATTGCTGTAGCGCAGCTACTTACTGCTGGTTTGGACAAGAAGATAATGTCCTGGGACATGCGCATGGGAATGGCTCTGGCTTATCAGAAAAAATTAGGTGAAGAGGTGGATTCCATGTCACTGTCTGGCTTTGATTTGATAGTAGCCATTGGAGCATCAGTGCATATGTACGACTTACGTAACTTAGACAGCTCAGTACTATCAAGTGAATCACTTATGGACCAAATAAAATGTGTCAGTTCAATTCCTTATGCTAGAGGTATTGTAAATTATAGATTTTTCTGTTATGCTTTTTGTAAACATTGTAGCTATATTGGATGTGGACACCCTCATTTTAAGGCACTGACTGTTAGTTGGAAGTTCTGTATGTCGTGGAATTAATTTAATTCTTGGATACTAACTTATATTTGCTCTGCCTCCACAATTCAAGATTTAATTGTTGTTCTGAGTCATGGATTCTAAGTATTGAAGATTATCAATTTTTTAAATCAGCTTTGTGATTCTTTTTCTAGGAAACATAGATACTATATTAGAACAGATTTTTGTGATTTATGATTTGATGTTGTAATTAGACCAATTTTTCTAAATCTGTTACATAGCTGTTTGAAGAAGAATTCATGTTTGTGCAGGATATGTAGTTGGATCAACAGATGGACGAGTAGCAGTGAGCATCTCTGATCCATCTGATTCAAATAATGGGGGGTAGGTTGTTTATTTTTTCTGTTTCAGTAATTCTTTTACTTCTTATAGTTTGAAACTTAGAACATGGTAGGCTTCCCTTTGTTAATGGTATGTGAATCTTTATAAGAGTTTTTTGTATGTGTAGTACTATTCTTTGTTGATTCATTTAACTCTGTGTTCTCATTGGGCTTGTTATTGAAATCAATTTTGTTTGTGTTCCATTTAATTTTCAATAGTAGAATTTCCATACAAAGTTGTTAAAGCTCCCGAATGGTTTAAGGTTTCCTGATTTGAATTTCTAATGCATGATTAACAGTTGAAGGTAGCATTATAACATTTGACCAAACTCAGAGCTCCATCTATGCTACAGGAAACCTATATTTTTTATCTGATTGTTGCATTAGGGTTCTCCTTTCAGGTTTTAGAATCTAGCTGTTTAGAATTTAATTTTGAGTTTTGTATGCTGTACCTAAAAGCCATTTCAGGTTTGTGTATAAGTGTGAATGCAAAAATGCTCTTAGGACATGTTATCTTATGCATCTCTTACATTCTTCCAGATATACTTTTCGGTGTCATCCAAAGTCAAAGAATGGAAGATATCATGTAGTCTCAGTGAATGATATTGTATTCAGTCCACTGTAAGTATATATTAATCTGCATGATTCCCATAGATTGTTAAAAGTTTCATTGACAGTTTGGTATTTTTTATGTAGCATGGATGGTCCTTTTGTTACTGGCGATAATGAGGGTTCTGTTATTGCATGGGATGCCAAACATAAAAGAAGACTATTTGAGGTATATTCATGTGATTCTTTAAGAGACTTGCACATGATGCTTTAGCAATGAATGCAATTTTTTTGGTATATTTGGAAAATAAAAATAAAAAAATCCACTTTTGGACTTTAATCCAACTTGTATCAGCAGCTTAATATAGGACAGTAAACAGAAAGAAGGAAAGAAAAAGAATAAAGGTTGAGAGAGATAGAAGAGAAGAATAGGGTGAGAACGAGAAGAAAGAACATAATTTTAAATAAAGAATTGGTTGGGAAAAGAGTTTGAAAAAGTTAGGATTTGGATTAGGGAGATAACAAACAGAGAAGATAAAAAGTAAAGAGAGACGACAACATAAGAGGAGAGAGATAACAAGAAAAGATTTAAGTATTCACTATTCATTGCTTAAGAAACTACACGAAAGCCTATTTTATAGTGACCACAAGTACTTTAATTTTCTTGAAATTAGTGAATCAAACCTTAATCAAATAAGAATCATACTTCTTGATGCTAAAATCTGGATCAACAAGTAGGGTTCTTGTTCTAATTGTATCTCATGGTACATTGATAAATTGTGAATAATAGACATCTATCTTTCTTGTATCTCTCTAACCTTCTCTTGCTTTCAGTTGCTGCAATTCCCAAATAGTGTGGCATCATTATCATACAACCATGGGGGACAACTTCTTGCTGTTGCATCAAGCTATACTTACCAGGAAGCTATTGAAAGGCTAGCTATTACCTTTGACTTTTTTTCCTTCTATTCAGTTTTTAATTGTTAAGTTTGATGTGTTAACAACGCATTACTGTTATATCTTGCATATTTTAGCTGGGCGTCAATCAGCATCACAATTTGAGTTTTATCTTGTCTTGCCTATGCCTCCATTATTGATGGTTCACCAAAGAGTTCTCAATTTTCTTGCCTGTTAAATACAATTTAATTGAGAAAGCATGGATTCAGTATTTATTTTTCTAAAGTGGTATTGGTCTGTTTTTGTCTTTCCAAGCGCTTAAACTTCCACTTTAATTGCACCTCTGTTGGCTGCATTTTATTAACAACCATAAACCATATTAAACTTGTGCCCTCTGATTTATTGACCCATCTAATAGGCTTTCTTCCGTCTCGTGTTAGTAATTTGCAATTATTTCCTTTATTTCTGCACTTTCCTTTGACTTATTTATTCTAACTTCTCCAGATCTACGGCACTCAGTAGATCCTTAGGTGGCCTAATAACGTGCTCCTTAAAGCTTTTTGTAGTGTCAATGGTCACATAGCATGTTAGCAAAGAGCAGTCAATATAGCAAAAGGGTGGTTGTGACACAACTGAAGGTTTTTAATCTTTTCAGTGTGCAGTTGGCTTGTGACAGAGAAGAGCCTCCTCAGATATTCATTCACAAAATGGATGTTGACCACCTGAGATCAGTTTCTGTTATAAGTGGAAGTAGGAAATGACTGTATGAGAGGGTTTTCAAAATGAGGTAATGACTTGTATCTATGGAAGATGACATCTATACAAGTTCTTAGTTGCTTATTCTAAAGACATTCAATACGAATATGCTGATTATAATATCCAAACTGTCTGGTGAAGGCAACACTGGCTCCTGCAGTCTGTCCCTTATTTCAATAAGATTCAGATTATCCTAGGATTTGAAGATTTAGAGCGTTCAGATTTGTTCAAGTTCCAAGTGATTAAAGAGCAAGAATTCCTGCAATGCTACCTCCTTGTTTGAATCTCTGATGATCTAACTTAGAGCCTGTTTGGTCGAATTTATAAAAATTAACTTATAAGCCGTTAGTGTTTATAAGGTAATTTAAGCTTATAAGCATTTAAAATTTAAGCAATTATGTATTTGGTTGAAGTATGTGTAAGTGACTGAGAAATAATTGATATGTTTGGTAAAACTTATAAATACATTTTATTATTAAAATGATTAAAAATGATACTATATTATTTTATCAAATAATAAATTATATTAATTCAATTTTTTATTATAATATTATCAAAATATCTTTCGATCATATTACAATATAATTTAAGTTTAGAATCAAATAAACAAATATTTTATTAAAAATTTATATGAATAATTTTTGCTGTGAATAGTGATAGAAGCTTGAATTGTTTAAAATATAAAAATAAAGTTATACGATGGAATTTCAAAATTAAATAAAGGTAATATGGTAATATATTTGATTAAAATAGTTTATAAGTTGACTGTTTATAAGCTTAAAATGATTATAAACAAAAGGTTCATTTTAATTTTAGAATTTATATACTAATTTGATCAACTTATAAGTTCAGTTAAATATTCCCTTAGTTGATCGGGATCTATTTCTAATATAATCCGGAGCTCTGAATTATATACTTATGAGCCATCTCTACGAGCTATTTAATTCGTGTTACCGAGTGTGTAAAGTATCTCATCGCGGCTCTCGTTCATTGAAATTCCAGCATGAAGCTGACAGGATTATTGGTGAAATGCCTACTGAAAGTAGTTGTTTGTAGTGTAATTCCTTGTAAAGTAAGTTTGACATATACCACTTGAATGAAGAGGTTTTGTAATGCGGGTTCAATTGATAATTGTAAATTATGCAGAGCATATTACATGATCGATGAATTACAGCTGTTTGAATGGATCCATGATTTGGGTTATACAAGTATGAAGCATATGAAATCAGATCTCATGAAGGGCATCTCCAACCCAACACCAAAATGGTGTAAAAAATGTGCTCCAATCCAACGCCAAACACCACACCAAATTGGTGTAAGTGACCAGTGGGCCAACTTGGTATGACACTGTTTATATACTATAAAATATATTTTATTTTCTTATTTTTGTTATTTATATGTATGTTAATTTGATTATTATTAATAATAATAAATTCATAATAATTACATAATTCAAAAAATGATGAAAAATAAAAAAAAATGATCGTAATGTTGATGTATCGATTGAGAATCAGATGGAAGCGTCAACTTCCGAAGTTGAAATTATCGTAGATAAAAATATCTGATTTTAAAATTTTCTTATTTGACATAAACAAATCAAGGATACATAGGCTCACCATGCTTCAAAATGCATTAATTGATCATTTATAGAAAGAATATATTAATTCGAAAAATTAAATTATTATTAATATGAAATTTTACTTTTGTTTTGTTGTTGTCTTTTTTTTCTTTCTTTTTTTACATTTTATATTAAATGTAATGTTTTTCTATATTAAATGTAATGTTTATTTTATTAAATAAATACTTAATTTTATTAAATTAATATAATTTTTAAAGTAATTATTATTTAATAAGAATCTCATTCTTAATATTTAATTAATAAATATAAAAATAATTAATGAAATAGATTAATGATTAATTATTAATAAAAAGAAAAAGAAAGGGAATATTTTAAAGAATATTCCTAGAATTATCACAGTGAAACATATCAAAAATCATACTACTTTAGTGTAAATCTGGGTGTTTGTGGTCGGCGACGGTGATAGTCTAAAAGATTATAATGTCATTTTGTCGATACGGTTTCTTTCAAATAAAAATAATTTCAATTTGAAATTGTTATTAGTACGACAAAAGAATCAATTAATTAATATTAGATGCAAGAACCATAGCACGCACGTGCCAGTCCCCGCGTCAACTTAAAGCAAACTCAGATATTTATACATATCCAAATCCTCACCCTACAAATACCTAATCCAACGGCCTAAAGAGACAGCTTTAATAAAGCTGACTTTTTTGGCAAACCCTAGTACCCAACATAGTACACAACTCTTAATTTTCTCCACTCTTTAAAGCTGACTATAAATATCCAAAACCCAATCAAACACCATTCCCCCTCTCCTCTCTTCTTTGAAATTGTTAATTTAATTTTAACTTGACAACTCGCTGAATCATGTCGGACGAGGAGCACCACTTCGAGTCTAAGGCTGACGCCGGCGCTTCCAAGACCTACCCGCAGCAGGCTGGCACCATCCGCAAGAACGGATACATCGTCATAAAAAACCGTCCCTGCAAGGTCCTTTTCTTTCTGATCTGGAGTTATGTCGTTTATTTTAGATCTGTTGTTGGACGTTACTTGTGTGTAGTTTATTTTATTTGTAATTTTTGTAAATTCGGTTGGATTTGCTATTTTTGTGTGTGCTTGTGATCTGTGTTTGTTTCTTAGGTTTCATTTATTTTGGTTATTTGTTTAGATTTCGATGTGACGTTACATCTTGGTAAATTATTTAATTAGTTTAGAAAGGTCGAACTAAGATCTGAAAATATATTCCACGGCATATTACCACTCAGTAGTGAAATCTAGCAAGTTTTGAAGATCTATAACGGGAAAAATAAGTTAATTTGATATCGATCGTATAATCTTGTAAAAGAAAAGACTGAAACCTCAAGTGAAAATTCGGTTTAAGTTTTGTTTTTGGAAAAAATGGGATTGCTCAAATATGTGATTGTTCTTTGCAGGTTGTGGAGGTTTCTACTTCCAAAACTGGAAAGCACGGTCATGCTAAGTGTCACTTTGTTGGAATTGATATCTTCAATGGGAAGAAGCTTGAAGATATTGTTCCCTCCTCCCACAACTGTGATGTATTCACTTCGCTTTTGTTCTTAGTTTTATGCAATATTATTCTTTTTTTTTTTAAGCCGAATGAGAGTAATTTGTTTTTCATATTTTACAGGTTCCACATGTTAATCGTACTGACTACCAGCTGATTGATATCTCTGAGGATGGCTTTGTATGATTTTATTTTATTTTATAATGTTTAGTTGATTGTCTTTGTGGTTTAGGATTAAGGATTAATCTGATGCTCTGCTAATTACAGGTGAGTCTTCTGACTGAAAATGGTAATACTAAGGATGACCTGAGGCTTCCAACTGATGACAGTCTGCTCACACAGGTTAGCTAACTTATGTTCTTATAAACATTTGTTATTGCTATGGGTTTGAGAATTTTGAATTGTTATGCATGGTATTTCGAAGCAGTTTCTGAGTTATGCAAAATGTCCTCTAGTATCTTTTGGTTATTTACTGGATCGGTGCTGTTTAATAGCTTTAAATAAACCCAAGAGATAATTAAAAAAAAAAAAAAAAAAGTAAACCTTGACTTTGATTCCATGGGCAAACTTGAATTGTCAAGTGGGTTGGTTACTTGGATTTTGAAGAATGATAGCAGTAGCTATCATTATCCTGCAATTTTCTAGGTGTTACCATTTGCTATAGAGATTTTCATTAATTATGTTGTGTTGTTGGATTCGTTTGCAGATCAAGGCTGGATTTGAAGAAGGGAAAGATCTTGTTGTGAGTGTGATGTCTGCTATGGGAGAGGAGCAGATTTGTGCCCTGAAGGACATTGGTCCCAAAAACTGACCTTGGTTGTTTGACGTGAAATGCTGAAGGCCGTAGAACAAAAGATGGAGGATAAGATAGTGTAGCTTATTGGGGTTGGGGTTTATGGTTTTGAGATGAAGGGATCATCTGCTAAAAGATCATGCTTGACTAGTTGTGGCCTCTTATAAGATGACTCTTGCCATTTGTTAATTGGCATTTATAGACTATATATTTTTGTTGTGTTTGATTGCTGCACTGCTTGAAAGTTGAACTGTGGTTCTTGGTGTGGAGAAGTAATATCCGCCAGCATGCAAGACTGTATATACACTTCTAAGCACCTTTTTAAGTTTGGATTTGCAATTTACACTTATTCCCATTTTCTGATTTCGTTATAAGCATATTCCATTTCTAGTTTATCTAATTTTCATCAGTAGTCTTATTTGTGAGGCAACAATTTGATGTCTCGCTTCTGGGCAAGGTCAAGACTCCTGAGGTTCATATTTGGATTTATTATAAAAGTTTAAGTCTCCTTATTTACTCATCTGGTTTGGTTTAGCAACTTGTTCCTAAAATTTCTAAGTGATATTTTATTAAACACACCTTTAACTTTTACTGACTTGTACTGATGATTCGACATTCTAGCTGTTTTTATGTATCTTATCTTGTCTTTATTCAACAAGGATAAGGTCGCGATAAATAAATTGTTTTAAAATTTAAATTATAAAATAAGATAATTTTATAATAGATTATGGTAGTTTTAAATAGACGTGGCAAACGGGCGGGGCGCGTGGGTATAGGCGGGGTAATTACGGATAAAAAAAAATTTACGGGTTTGAAAGTGCATGATCTGTAGCCGTTCGTGCGGGTCGACCCATAAAAAACAAAATCATGTGAAAGGAGGACAATATGTAGGCTTTATATTCGCGTGAAAGGTCCATCGTTAAGTCAAAGAGCCTGTAATAATTAAGTACTTGTTCAGGGGAGAGGTGGCGTGATATTTTTTAGTCTTAACTCTTATGAGGCGATTTTTTGGCATGGAATCTGAGGAAAAAGATGGCAGAGATTAGTGCTACTGCTAAAGCTGTCGCTGTGAGAGGGATGAAATAGGAGGAAAACTCATCTATGACAACGAAAGCTTGCATTAGAATAGGAGCAATGTTTGTTTTATAAAGGTACATATAAACAATTTTTATCCTTGATTTTTTTTCTTTTTTTCTTTTAGATGATATCGATTTACAACCCTTTTTGTATGAATTTTTATAAAGATAGTATTTTTCTTAAAATAATAACATGATGTTTGTTTTATTATTCTCTATTCTATTTCTAAAAGCATGTTTATTTAATTATTTAAAAAATACTATTCTATTTTTTTAATTACTTTTAGATCTTTTAAGTATATCAATTTAATTAAACATCCATATAAAAAAAAAAAATTTAAAAATTAACAAAAATACTCTCATCCATCCATAGTTGTCAGATTCTGATAACCACAATCAATGATTGTCAGAATCT